TGCTACTCTGACTGGGCCTGAACTGCTGAAAGGTATGATATGTGAACTGCCTGTCCGTGAAACTGTAAAAATCATAAATGTGGGTGTTTTTTTAAAAAAAACTGTTCAGATAATGTCCTCACTTGATGGTAGTGAATGTTAGAAATAGCAGTATCACCAACCCAGCCTTATAAACCTGAAAATCACACTAGAGAGAGGGGTAGCTATCTATGGTCACTTCCTTTCTCAAAAATAAAAAACCATCTTTTATGTCCTGTTAATTCTGCCTCTTTAATCATCCCCAATCCAATCATTTTGGTTTTAAGTCCAGGTCACTATTAGCTCTTATTAGCCTGCTCACATTCCCGCACCCACTCTTCTTCATTCCAGTACTTTACACAGTGTTCCATATACCAAAAAAGAAAAATCGATGGCACTGCCATTCTTGGAAGTCCCTGATGATTTCCGACACTTTAATTCTCCTTTGATGCTCTTTATGAGCAGGGGTGTCCCAAATTCCAATTTCTTACTACAATCTGCTTACTTTTGGCTTGTCATTAGAAAATACTATTCACCAGACAAGGACATCAGAGCTGGTAAAGTGCAGGGTCAGTTAAAATGAGGGAACCCTCAACGAAAGAAGTTGTCTAACAATAGTCTCAAACACACCGATTGTGTAGACGGCGCAAGACAAAATGTTTTGACTTATTATACATGAAGTCATTATGAGTCAGAGCTCTCTCCACTGGCAACTAGCCGCAGCCTTTTACCGCTCTCCACCGTTCAGGTGTATGAGTCTCCATGCCCTTTGATACAGGAGACAGAGGACTGTGCCACTTGAAACCCAGTATGCCCCGAAATGTCAGAAGCAGCTGCAGCAGAACCAAGGGCAACACATAAAGCAGAGCTTGAACTTCTAGCCTTCAGAGTAACAGTACCTTCTGGAGGCTCACAAGCAGAGGACCATGCCTCCAGGCACTTAGGGAAGTCTACAGAGCTTTAGAGTTAATGCCCAGCAGCTACAGGCTCAGACTAAGGGAGGATCTCGGTTGCCTTTGAGCATGCGTAGGCTCAGAAAAGGCCTTTGTCAACTTGCCTGGAACAGAAGGCCACTGTGGTTCCAAGGGAGATCAAAGCAAAGTAAGGCATACCCTTGGGAATGGCTGGGAAGATGTGGCTGGGATCAGAAAAATTGTATCCGGAGTATTTCTGATCCTAAATTATACCGTTACCTTTCCTAATAAACTCCATAATCAGGAGTATAGTCTGCGAATTCTGGGCCATTTCAATGGATCATTGAATTCAGCAGAGAAGTGGAGTACCACAGGAGGTCTAGTTATTATCAGAATAGGGAGAAGATAGCTGAAGGTAGGCATAGCTATCTTTTCTGGTCTCAGCCTCGTAGCAGTCAACCTTGGGAAACTGTTGAATTTGACTCTTATTCCCTTGTGAAGTCAAAGGGGGTCAGATACTGCTCCCATGCCATTCTTAGAGTTGAACTTTGTGCTATTTTGAGAACACCCACCACCACCACTTTCAGGATGCCTTACACTTTCTTGGCTAACTTGCACTACTTTAGTCTCAGTTCAGAAGACATTGCTTGGATTCAAGTGTTAACTGATCAGAAATCCTCTGCTGAGACAAATGAGGAAGACTCCATCACTTACCAGTTATTGAAATGGCTTCTTTACTGTGTCCTCCTATTACCCATTCTAAAACACACTTTACAACTGACTCTGGGGAGAAAGACCATGCCCATCTTGATCCCACCCCTAATTTAGTCAACTCTCAGGTACTCAGTTACCATTCAACAACTATTTACCACATGAAGGAAGTTTTCTGTTGCTTTGTCCCCCGGAGACAAAGAACAGCAATGTTTTGATACTAAATATGAAGTCTGACCATTGACAATATACAAAGGCATCCTATGACTAAAGCAGGGATCCTCAAACTCTTCAATCAGGGAGCCAGTTCCCTGTCCCTCAGACCCGTTTGAGGGCCGGACTATAGTTAAAAAAAAAACAACTATGAACAAATTCTTATGCACACTGCACATATCTTTTTTGAAGTAAAAAAACAAACAGGCAAAAACACCTGGTGGGCCAATAAATGCCCTCGGCGGGCTGCATGTGGCCCGTGGGCCGCAGTTTGAGGAGCCCTGGGCTAAAGGGTTCAAGCAGTGACAGGTGAGGTCTGGGTGCAAAACCACAGCCAGTCACCAGATGCAGCTGAGTCAACTCCAATGCACCTGGACCCTCTGTGTATTCAATTTCACCCATGTGAAGACCAGTTCCCACAACTAGTATTCAAATGTATGCACTAATCACTAAAGCTAGTGATGGACACAAGACTTCTACCAAGCTCTACAGCCCGAAATTGGTCAAACATGCAACCAAGCATTGATAAATACTGGAGATTAGAATGAAAAGAAAACAAGGATCGGTAGTGAAATATGGCCTTGGTGATAGAAATAAGCCAGAGGTGGAATGATCAAATTTTGAAGGACTGTGACTTCTTTAAGGGCTCTGGTGATAGAGTGGGGTGCCCTACTCATCAGAGCTGCTAACCACAAGGTCAGTAATTAGAAACCACCAGGCACTACACGGGAGAAAGATAAGGCTTTCGACTCCCATCATCATAATCGCGGAAACCCATACAGGCAGTTCTATCCGGCTGTCCCCTAGGGTAACGATAAGTCTGAGTTGATTCAATGGCAGTGAATATGATGTCCCTTTCCAAGGGCTGATCAAATGTCCAAAGTACATGGGATGAAGTCTTGACATCTTCTCTTCTAAGGAGTACTCTAGCTGTACTTCCTATGAGACAGATCCTTTGGTAGCTTATAGTACTTTCACTATTTTTTGCCAACATCAAAATTTAAATGTATCAATCTTCTTTGGTCTTCATTTTTCATGGTCTAGCTTTCACAATGGGGAGGTACACTTTAGTTCCTCAAAGTGACATTTTTTCTCTTTTAACGATTTAAAGAGGCCTTACGCAGATTTCCCCAATGCAGTATGTGGTTTGATTATTTCACTACTACTTCCACAAAGGATGGCGTCTTAAGTCCCACTCTCTCCTAACCAAATAAACTCACCATCCTTTTTGTCTTGGACACCCTCAAGCAGGTCTAACACACTACCTTTATTTCCTGACTGAGCCTTGGTAGAAACAAAAAGACTGACTGTGACTTTTGAACATATTTGGCTTCTGGTTCTGGAACCTGCTTGGCTTACCCCTGCTTGACCTTTGGATTTTGGACTGAACCACTCACGACTGGAGACATTTCCTCAAAGTTCCATGAGTTTCTATGGAAAGCTGCAGCATATAGTGAAATCAAGAACATCAGGGAATATATTCAAGGAAGGAGTAGGGGAAAAGTGGAGAACAGTATCTTGGAAAAGTTGGATATTTGAAACATCTTTAATTTCCAACTCCTTGGGATTTATTTATTCAATGTCTTTACTGACTGTCTAATTTTCACACACATGTGACATCTGAAAATACCATGGCTCGGGTCAGGCGCACCTTCGTCTTCAAAGTACCATTCCTGCTTTTCAACATTTTAAAGAGACCTTGTGTAGCAGATTTACCCAATGCAATGCATCTTTTTATCTCTTGACTGCTGTTTCCACGAGCATTGATTCTTGAGTGAAGCGGGACAAAATCCTTGATGACAGCAATCTTTTCTTCGTTATTGTGATGTTACTTCGTGGTCCAGTTGAGAGGATTTTTATTTTCTGTAGTCTCTGATCTTCCTTAGCAAGTGCTGTTAGTCCTCCTCACTTTCAACAAGCAAACTTGTGTCATTTGCATGTCACAGGGTGTTAATAAGCCTTCATCCAATCCTCATGTCACATTAGTCTTCATATAAGCCAGTTTCTGATTACTTGCTTTGCATAGAGAATGAGTATGGTGAGGATACAACCCTGACGTACACCTTTCCTGACTGTAAGCCATGCAGTATCTCCTTGTAAGTGCTGTGGAATTCTCATTTTCTCCAGGCTATCCATAGTTTGTTATGAACCACACGGTCCATAAAACACAAGTCCAGTATTGATTCTTCTAAAAGAAATTACTACCACACAAACCTTCTTCAACAAAAAGCCCAGGAATCACTATGTGACAAATGTGACAAAACTGCTAAGAATCAAGTGATGGGACTGATCCCCGAGCAGAGGACAAGTGACGGAGCTCCTTTTTTGAAAGAGGACTGATGATGGGAGAAGAGACCAAGCAGCCCTTGTGGGAAAGCAGGTGAAGATGGGCCACAGGGAAGCAAAGGAAGGAAAGAATCAAGCAGGAGGTACAGGCTGGAGGGAGCTTTGTAAGCCTGGTCATGTGCTCATGGAGCAAAGACTGAATATTTACTGTTAATATCCCTATTACAAGAAGTATCAGCAAATCTAGCAAGAAATGAATGAAGGTGCTACTTACTTAATAGAGGAGCCTGTAGAACTGTGGTAAAAGCACTCGGCAGCTAAACAAAAAGCAGTTTGAACCACCTACCTACCCGCCACTCCTCAGAGAACGAAGTAGCAGTCTGCTTCCATAAAGCTTTGCTGCCTAACAACCCCGGGGGTCAGTTCGACAATGCCCTAAAGGATGCTAGGAGTCAGCATCAACTTGACTTGATGGCAGTTGTTCTTATCTTACTTCAACATGAAAAGAAAACACCGCATGGACAGCCTGAAATCCTAACTGCAGAGGAAGGAAAGTCGTTTGGCTATCTTCATCTCCAGGACAATATGACGCAAAGAGAAAATAATTGTACATCGCTGTATATATGGTTTTTCTCTCTCAAAATATCTAGTCATTCCAAAGATACTAACTAAAAGGGGGGTGGGAGGGGAAACCTAGAAATAAAGAGGAAAGGAACTTAAATTAACATCCCAACATCTTTGGTTTCTTGCAAAGGAGTATGTTATAATGACCTTAAAGACTACTGTTTATTAATTTATTTAATGCTGAGCTTTTAAAGAAAAGTCAGAGAATGTCCACACAGTTACTATTTCAAGTACGGAATACCGTGGATGCTAACAAGTCCGACACTGGGTGTCCCAATCCCTGTACAAACACTGAGTGTCCCAATCCCTGTACAAACAGGCACGCCGCCACCATGTCATCTGGTGGTCTCCTTTGGCCCACGTTACTAGAGCCTAGCTCCAGTCTGTGGCCCATGGCACCAACAAGCTTCTTTGGGATTGCCAATATTTGAACATCACCTAAACAGCGAACATCCCTATTTCTAGAAAAGAAAAACTACTTTCAATATGTTCATATCAGTCTAACTGCTCCAATTTGGCCTTTAAATATTAGTGAGGGGAGACGAAAACAACTACAGGGTCAAAATTATGCTCTTTGCAGCCTAGATTTAGTTTCTTAATTCCCATGTGTGCTACTTGGTGTCACATGTTAATATGTACTTGGATCCAAGAAAATTAATGCTTACAGTCAGATTAAGTTCATAACAGTGATTAATGACATAAGTATACTTATTTACTGTATTATGTAGGTCTTTAATGTCAATTTCCAGCTCCTCTCCCACAAGGAAAAGATGGTTTGGAAAAAAAAAAAAAAAAGCCGTTGCTGGTATAACATCAAAACCCAACTCACTGCTTGTAATCAATTTTGAATCATAGCTACTTCAGAGTAGAGTAAATCTGCCACCACAGAGGTTACAGGTACAGATGACCACATCTTTGTTCTACCAAAACAGGTTAGAAATGGAGAATTATTATCTTATTAATAAACAGCAACTAGCAGTAACTGAATGTTCACTGTGTGCCAAGCACTTTCCCAATATTTTATGAAGACAAGTATTAACTTTTTTGATTGTTATAATAACTATATGATGATAGAAGAGTGACAATGCAAAAATATGGCTGTTAAATAAATTTGCCTCAAAATCATAAGCTACTAAGGGACTCTAGACAAACTGACTCCTAAATAACAGTCAACTTATATGAAGTCAGCCAGTAAATACCCTGGACACAAGAAGTTCATTTTTAAATCACTATAAAGCACCAAATCAAATAAACAAAACACACACACACACACACCCTAAACCCACTACTGCACCACCGGAGCTCATTATATTTTAAAAAATAATAATTTTACTGGGGGTTCGTAAAACTTATCACAATCCATACATCCATCCATTGTGTCAAGCACATTTGTACATTGGTTGCCATCACCATTTTCAAAACATTTTCTTTCTATTTGAGCCCTTGGTAGAAAGAAAAAGCCCTTGAGCTTCTCCTTCTTTTCCCCTCCCTCCTGCACCCTCCCTCACGAACCCTTGATAATTTATAAAAAATTTTTCCATATCTTACACTGAGCGATGTTTCCCTTCACCCACTTTTCTGTTGTCCATCCCCCTGGGAGGAAGTTACGCAGATTATTGTGATGGTTCCTCCTTTCTCCCCCCACTTTCCCCTTACCCTGCTGGTATGGCTACTTTCAATATCAGTCCTGAGAGAATTATCTGTCCTGGATTCACTGTGTTTCCAGCTCTTATCTGTATTTGTGTATATGCTCTGGTCTAGCTAGATTTTTGAGGTAGAGTTGGGGTCACAATAGTGGGTGGGAGGACAGAGCTCATTATTAAAATCAACTACCAATAACCATGGTAGAAAAAGGTTTTGGCACATACTGGCCTGCAGTGTTAGTTGGGGTTGACTAGAGAAACAAATCCAGAGACACTTGCATCTCCAGGGCTCTGGCTGCCATCAGCATGGCTCCATGTGGCTTGTCAACAGGAAAGTGAAGCAGAGCGAGTATGTGTCCCACCTCCAGAGAGGAAGAAAAGGAGTTCCTAGAATCCCACACCCACCGGGAGATAGCTTCAGACGGTGACCTGACTGAAGGCTAGACTCCACCCCTTCATTCTTTTATCAAGTTGACATGAAATTGTACAATTAACCCAGCTGCTAACCACAGGGTGAGCTGTTTGTGACGTCACCAACCTCTCTGCAGGAGAGGCGTTCTGTCCCTATGAGGAGTTGGTTAGTCTCAGATACTCACAGGAGCACTTCTGCTCTGTCCGGTAGGGGTGCTGTGAGCCCAAATCAAGGCAATGGCAGCGAGTTTGTCTTTTTTTTTATAATCATTTTATTAGGGGCTCATACAACTCTTATCACAATCCATACACACATCAATTGTGTAAAGCGCATTTGTACATCATTCTCAAAACATTTTCTCTCCACTTAAACCCCCGACATTAGGTCCTCGTTTTTCCCCTCCCTCCCTGCTCCCCCCTCCCTCATGAGCCCTTGATAGTTTATAAATTGCTATTTTGTCATACCTTGCCCTGTCCGACGTCTCCCTTCACCCACTTTTCGGTTGGCCGTCCCCCAGGGAGGAGGTCACATATAGTATTTTTCATCATTGTTACATCGCACTCTGACTGGCTCATCTCCTCCCTGGCGAGTTTGTCTTTTTGTTGTGAAACAGGGAAGTGCCAGTCTAGTGGTGTAGTGGTTACGAGTTAGACTGCGATCCCAAGGTCAGCAACTCGAAATCAAAAGCTGCTGCTCTGCGGGCGAAAGATAAGGCTTTCTACTCCCATAAACACTTACAGTCTTGGAAACTCACACAGGGGCAATTCTACCTTGTCTTGTAAGGTTGCTATGAGTCAGTATTGACTGGTGGGCAGTGAGTTTTTTGTCTGTCTAGTGGAATGATCCATTGTCAAATTTGTCACATAAACTATAAAGTAAGGATATCTACTTGAGCGCTACATCTTTTCTAATTCCAGATCATAAATCAACTAGAAATATAACATCCATCTTCTCTCTCTTTTATATCAGGGCCATCAGTAACAAAACAAAACAACCCACTGTTAATCATGTCAACACCAACTCACAGCAACCCTCCTGGACCATGTGGAACTGCCCTTGTGAGTTTCCAGACTAGCTCTTTACAGAGAGTGGCTGGTGCTTTTGAACTGCAGACCTTCCGGATTGCAGCTCAAGGTATAAACCACTACATACCAGGGTTCCTTGGCATTAGTATCCATTTTTGCATTAACTGCAGGCATTTCTTATGTATTAGCATGCTAAATTATGGTAGCTGCTCTATTCATCAATAACTGTTAAGTCAGATCTGGTTCAAATTCCGATTAGGGATTACTAACTGCTTTACCATGGGCAAGTTTCTAATCTTTTTATGACTCAATGCATTCCTCTTTAAAATGGGGGTTGATGCCACCTCATTGTGGGAATTAAATAACATACCTAATGCTCTTAGAACAATTCCAAGTATCTATCTACCTGATATAAACTTTAAGTAGTATAAAAACTCATTGTTACCTTAGAACATTGTTACCTTAGAACATTCCAACTGTGATATAAACTCTCTTAAGTCTTAGGAATGGTAGCTTTTAAACTTGTATCCCTAAAACAACACCCTGCAGGCCACATGTGGCCCGCTGAGGACATTTATCCAGCCCGCCGGGTGTTTTTGCCACTGCTGCCTGTCCTGCTTAGCAGCCGACTCGTCCAGTGTGCATAGGAATTTGTGCATAGTTTTTTTTTAAACTAGAGTCCGGCCCTCCAAAGGTCTGAGGGACAGTGAGCTGGGCCCCTGTTTAAAAAGTTTGAGGACCCCTGCCCTAAAACATAAGCAGTCTCTACTATATAAAGACGTAAAATGTTGTAAAAATAAGTGAAATGTGTCCACTAGGTTTGGCAATTAGAAGATCACCAGTGACCGAGGCCCTATCAGATTTAATGAAGACTTTGGGGAGCTCCCACAGGATACATCTGCTAACAGTGGTTACGACATGCGAGTAGAAACAGACTGACCTCAGTTTTGAGGAATTGGCTTTCAAGGAAAGGAAAAAAACAGCCAAATGTGTGGTCAAGGTGAGGTTGTTTTGAATTGAGACATAAACCTGTTGATCACATTTATAAGTTGAAAGAGAAGATGAAAAGGATGAGAGGTTGCAAATAAATACAGAACTCAAACACTAAAACACAAAGACCCCAGAAGAGTAAAAAAACAAACAAACAAACAAGAAAATAGGCAATAAAACACTTTCAGACTGGAGAGTGGAAGGACTGGCACAGTGATGGGAAGTTTATATTGGGGGTGGGGTGGGTACTTAGAATGGAAAGCAGAAATAAATATAGGTAAAAGGGTTTTGGAGACTAATCCAAGTCTGAGATACAAAGGGGCTCAAAAAAGTCCAGGAAAAAATCCTATTGTCTTTTAATTCCGTTTTCCCATAGTCCCCTCCTCTCTGGGAAGTGGGTAGGGCATGAGAAGACTTGTACAATGGTATCAAAGTTCTGGGAGGAGTTGGTAGTTGATGAAGCTGGATGAAGATATATTAGTGTCTATCATACTATTTTCTCTAGCTTCATGTCTGTTTAGAAATTTCCATAATAAGATGTTAAACAAAAGGTATAAGAGAGGGTAAGGCTATGGAGCGGCTAGAATTCTCATTCTCTATCAGTAGGAGTGTCAACTAGACCATGATTTGAAAAACTGCCAGATCAAGGAAACATCCAGAAATGCACTTGTGTATAAAAATGCATGCAACCTGTGTGATCACGGGGTGTCGAACGGATCACTGAAGACAAATGGGTGCATAAACAAATGTGGTGAAGAAAGCTGATGGTGCCCGGCTATCAAAAAGTATAGCGTCTGGGGTCTTAAAGGCTTGAAGGTAATCAA